AGAAATCATAGCACGTCAGCTGTCTTAACCGCGGCTTGTGTACTGCATCATCACTGAGTCTGTCACACGACTCTGTTGCTCTTTCGGGCTTGAACTGATGGTAAAATTAACAACATTATTAACTGTCTTGATATTTACTTTGAAAGATGAAGCTGGTGATTATGGTAAGGTGCGTTACATTCCCGACGTGTGCTTGCGGTGTTCGGCCAATCACAATGCACTGGGTCAGCTGGCCAATCAGAGCAGACTGCGCTTGTCAAAGGAGGGGCTTTGTTGAAAATGACGTGTTTGCGAGAGGCGGGGCATAGAGGACCTACAATAATGTACTGTGTGTTTTTTGAACATTAAAGCATGTCAACATATTCTGTTACACCAAATACACAAAATAATGATCTTTAAAATAGCATCATATGACCCCTTTAAGTCCTTGCTCTGATTATTGGAAATAATCACATTACTTTGCACACGTAACAAAATTTACTTTTTAGTACATATACACTGAAACATTTCGAAAGGATTTACTGAAAAAAACTAGAAAACTATTTTTCATTAAAAAATTGCTAGTAAGTTTAAATAATTAAGTAACATCAATGTGTATTTTTTTCGATGCAAACTGAAAAAGTATTTTCTTGTAAAACATACTTCAATTAATCTTTGTTGTATTTACATCATCTTCCAATTTTATTGTTTTTTTTTTTTTTTACAGTGTATGAGGTTTTAACGTCTGTACCAAAATCACAGCTTTGTCATCTGGGGTTTGGATGGAAAAGCGAAATATACTCTGTGCCGATGACAGCTCGACCAGCCGGGCCGCTAGAGTTCGCTCCAGGAATCTCTGCCTGTATGAGACACAATAAAAAAAAAACTCTCTGACTGAATATGATCTACAGATGACAACAAAATGAATAAATCAAATGAACTCGCTAACCTTTCTGAACTAGGCTCGGACACTAAACTGAGCTGTGCTATATCACACTCTCCATCTTCACGTGGCTTTACTAATATTTCAGTTATGTAAAACTTCAGCACCTCTGAAACACAAAAGACAAATATATTAGACACAGAAAATTGCACATTATCAACAGCTGGAGGTGCAAGATTATAAGAAATTACCTCTCAGATAATATGTGCACCTTCAACATTTCACAGAAACACATAGAGCTTTCTTGTAATAAAGAACAAAGTTATAATATAATTCGGAGCTCAAGAATTGTTTCCCAGGCCAAATATTGAAAACTATTTTAAGAATGGAATTGAGTCTTAACTGAATATTGTGTAGTAAACAGTATGCACACTATATGCATTAGTAGCTGCTGTTTAGAGCAAAAACCTAAATCATCTTGTTGTACTTTTGCAGACTACTGTGTAATTAAGTACATTAGGAATATTTAATTCTGGAGTCAAGTACTTTTGCATACCAACTAAACTGTCAAGCCATACGCATTTATACAGCGCTTTATACAAAACCTTTTCAAAGCAGTTTCGCATTAATAAACAGGAAAATACAATAGAAATGGTTTTAGACAATACGCATGGTTTCAAAGCAGCGTCAAAGTAATAAACAGGAGAATAACAGTTAGTGCTGTAAAATTATTCAACTATAAAATAAATTAAATTTCAGCTATAAGGCAGCACAGCTCTACAGAAGACAATAGTGTCATTTACTTCAGTGTGGTTTAAATTTTTATGCACTTTGCATGAAACATTTTTTTAAATGCGAGCTATAAATATGAATAACACTGTCACAATGTGATACGCTAACAAAGCCATCCATAAATACTATATATATAGGCTAGTTTTTACCCTAAAACACATACCGTCCTTTCACTTCCCCAGTTCTTTTAACACACAGTAGTCTGAATACACACAATAAAGAAAACACAGAAAAAACTGATATTTTCTGATCTCAAGACAATTATTAATAGCCTACACACTCTTTTCTCTTTTCTCACTCCACATTCACTCCCGTTTTGTCTGCACCCAAGTATCAATGTGCAATTAATCTACAATGCTGAACTCAATTAACCTGATTTAACATTCCTGATGTGGGCGAAACTCCTGATATCTCTAGTTTGTGAAGTGGCTCTCAGTGATTCCAGGAGTTCATCAAAGAGGACGTATTTCAGTGCAGAAGACATGAGTTATTCAAGTTTATAAAAGCATGAGGATGAGTGAATGCATGCTCATTTGTGGGTAAACCATCCCTTTAAAATACGGGCAAAACACAAAACAACTACAGAACTTACAATCACTAAAAATAGACCTTTGCAAACAGATAAACAGACTATTTTTGCTTCAAAAGCACAGCACTTTTATAAATACCCAAGGGTCAGTAACATAACATTTCAAAGCATATTAAAGAGTCTCAGGCTGTTGCTAACGGTAACAATGAATGGCCAATATGCATCATGGGTAATGGATGACATCATGATTTAAACATAAATAAGCTCTGGTTTTCTTCATTTGCACTCATGTCAAATGACTCAATGGTGTGTTACCACATTACTCCGCTGCTTTGCTTTCCTTACCTGCAGTGACTTCCTCTCCCAGCGCCGCAGAGCAGCTCCTGCAGGACACCATCACACGCTTGCTGCTGCGCTTCTGCTGTGGACACACACAAAAGCTGCTTTATATGGCAGTGGTTACACGGTAATACATATCAGTTCACTCGGCAGGCATATTCATAACACAGTGTGATTTAAACCTTTTCTATTGTCAGCTTCAGATGAAAAGTTGAATGGAATACTAAAGTTCAGTCATCTTTTTTAGTTTTGTTCAATGTTTACACATTTTGTAAGTGTTTACTGGATCTCTACCATTCAACCCTATTATGAAAGTTATTCTGGAAATAAAAAACTTTACAGGAAATATAAAACTATTGTTCAAAAGTTTGGGGTCAGTAAGATACTTTGGAAAAAAAAAACATTATTTTATTCACCAATGATGCATTAAACTGATCAAATGCATTTAAGGACATTTATAATCTTAGGTGAAAAAGATGTTACAAAAGCAGCACGACTGTTTTCAACATTAATAATAATCAGAAATGTTTCTTGAGCAGCAAATCAACATATTATACTGATTTCTGAAGATCATGTGACACTGAAGACTGGAGGAATGATGCTGAAAATACAGCTTTGCATCACAAAAATAAATTACATTTTACAGTATATTCATATAGAAAATAGTTATTTTTAATTGTAATAATATTTCTCAATATTACAGTTTTTATTGTATTTTTGATCAAATAAATGCAGCCTTAATGAGAAGAAGAGACTTAAAAAATAAAATAATCAATCTTACCGATTCTAAACTTTGATATAAATGATAGCTTACTTCAAAATGTCATTGGTTAGTTTATGAGTTTACTGCAAACCCATTTTTGGATGACAAAATAACTAGCCTAGCTTATTTTTTAAGCTAAATCTGCAATCCCGTGACTTGCTATTTTGCTAACAGGCTTGGAAAATTGCAAACCTCATGCAACATGAGCAGAAAATAAAACATTCTCATGTAATGCATATTTTGACCTCCTGAGGCTGAACACTTCTTTTCACCAAGCATTTGTTTTAAAAAGTGCTTCACACTCCTGCACAAAAACGGCAAGTCATTTTTCAACTTGTTTTCAAACTCCTGCTTCGACTGTATGCTGAAAATATTTAGTTAAAAAAAAAAAAATCAATAAGAAAACCGACGACTGTGTGCTGAAGTCGTTTAGGATAGAAAAAGCGCTGGAAAGTATGTTTTCATCTCCTCGGCATGGCCACAGGCTACACACAGATTGAGCTTGAGAAAGAGAATCAATCCCTCTTAAAGGCATGACCGCTTCTCCTCCACAGCCCGGCCGAGCGTAATGTTTTTAAAAGTGGATTTCCCCTACGCCTCTTCAGCCTTTATTGTGATGAAAGCAAGTCATCTGCCTCCTCGGTCAACCCTCAGGCTGTGTAAGTCAGATCTGTGCACTACGTAGGGTGTATATCACAACTGCATGTGTAATCAGTAAGAGTGCTGTTTTTGCTTAATCGAATCATGCATGTCTAAACTGCACAGCTTACCTCCGCAGAGGCGTTCTGACGCGAGCTCTCTTCCCGTACGAGGGTCTGCTCACAGCTGCTGTCCCGAGCCAACAGAAGAAACGTGTCTCCGACCAGACAGTCTCCGTCTCGCGGGAGCAGCTTCTTGTTTGCGAAGGGATCGGGGTGGCAGCACCAGTCGTCCACTAATGCATTCCAGTTTCCATTGGGCAAAGGAAGCACTCGCCCAAACGTCCTTTAGGAGTTAGGAGATAGTCTGATAATAGCTGAACACTGAAATAATGTGTCTGACAGTGAATTTATCACTATGCTTCCATGCACTACTTCACCAAATCAATGGAAATGAAAAAGAATGAATAGTAAGTAACCTGTCTTGAAGCACCATGGCGCCACAAGACTGGCACAGGAAGGAGTACGTCACATCGACCCGCAGCTGTCCAATCACACTGCAAGGAGCTTCTGGAGGAAGAAACACAGAACAAACACAACTAAAGCATACCAAGAGATGATACTTGTTTGGATAACCAATGACTCATCTGATGATACCGATTATTAGATAGGGTCAGAAAACACTAGCATCTGTAGAGAGCTGGGTATTATTTATTAATTAGAGTGTTTATTAAAATTAAAATGTTGCTATTTTATTTGTCATTTCATTTTTAAATTGTAGTATTTTT